GTTTGTGTCCCAGCTGCTCCACTTCCGATCCAGCTCCCTGCCAATGGCCTGGGAAAAGCAGCAAAAGATGGCCCAAGTGTTTGGGCCCCTGCCACCCATGTGGGAGACCCAGATGAACTTCCAGGCTCCTGGCCTCATCCTGGCCCAGTGATGGCCATTGTGTCCATCTTGGGAGTGAATGAGTGGATGGAAGATTCTCTCTCTCTTTCTCTCTCTCTGTAACTCTGCCTCTCTCTCTCTAACTTTCAAATATATATATATATCTTTTTTAAAAAATTGATGCTATGATATAGTTATATGCATTAGCATGTAATGACATTTCTCTAATATACTGTTAAGTTTAAAAGGCACTATGGCAGATGGTGGCTCAATTACTTGGGTTCCTGCCACTTATACAGGAGACCTGGATTGAGTTCCTGGCTACTGGATTTGATCCTGCTAAGCCCTGTTTGTTGAAGGCATTTAGGGAATGAACCAGAGAATGGAAGATTTCTTGATTTCTTGATTTCTTTCTTTCTTTCTTTCTTTCTCTCTTTCTTTCTCTCTTTCTTTCTCTCTTTCTTTCTCTCTCTCTTTCTCTCTCTCTTTCTCTCTCTTTCTTTCTCTTTCTTTCTCTCTTTCTTTCTCTCTTTCTTTCTCTCTCTCTTTCTCTCTTTCTCTCTCTTTCTTTCTCTCTTTTTCTTTCTTTCTCTTTCTTTCTTTCTCTCTCTCTTTCTTTCTCTCTCTCCTTCCTTCCTTCCTTCCTTCCTTCCTTCCTTCCTTCCTTCCTCTCTGTCTCCCTCTCTCTCTTTCAAATGAAATGAAAAAGAGGTAAAAATAAAAGGTTCAATGTGCAGTATGCTTCCATGGAAAGGAAGAAAGGGAACAAGAAGGAAAAGAAAGGGAGGGGGAGGAAGAAGATGACACGGGAAGAAGCAATGCACTTCGGACCTGCAATCTCAAATTTCCCTGAAGCAAAATGACCAGATCTCCTGGAGCCACAAAAGGCATAAGCTGACCTCTGGGTAAATTCTTCAAGGGCCCATTTTCAAAAGGAGGTCAGGAAGAGCATCAGGAACAAAGCAAGAGATATTGGTGTGGTAAATCAAGAGTGAAGGATCACCTTCTTTTCCAAGATCTGCCACATACAGCTTTCTGACCTGGGCCTGTTTCCCCAAGACAGAAGTGGCTGGCCTGAGTGATCAATCACCTGGTTTCTTTCCAAGTCCAAAGATCTCAACCAAAGAGCAATTCTAAGCCTCTCCACCCAAGTGGGTCTTAGATCCCCACTAGGCCCCCTTTCAGTCCTCTCTATAGCCCTGGGTGATGTTCCCCAGTGACACTTAACTCTCCCAAAGGTAGGGGTATGTGGAGGGGCTCTCTCTATCTCCCACTACCACAGCCCTCTCCTGAGAGAGAGCACAAGCTTTGATGGGGCAGGTCTAGGCATCCATATTTGATTCAGGTGACTCTGCCTGCCACAGTCACAGCCGACTGGACCGGGATGGACACAGGACCCAAAGAAAGCCAATCCCTTTTTTTGGTCCACAACCAGAGTCAGTCAGCCCATCTCTCTCCCTCTCCCTCTCCCTCTCCCTCTCCCTCTCCCTCTCCCTCTCTTCCCCCCTCCCCCGCCCCCCGTCATTCGTCTGCAATGAACAATAAAGTAATTGAGCCCTTTAGAACTGGGTTGGCAGCCACAGATACAGAAGGCCACTCAACAGAGACCACTTTCATCATAATGGTAAAATTCTGGAAACAGCCTAACAGGAAAGCAGAGAATGATAAAAAAAAAAAAAAATGGGCATGCTAAGAAGAAGAGGGATACTCTGAAGCTGCTAGTTCCCAATGAGGCCTGGCTATGTTTTATTCCCCGTGTCCCCAAGATGCCCAAGTACATCTGTTTCCTGAGCTAATCAAAATCTTGTTTCTTACAATGAGTGGTTCAAAGTAAAAATTAAGGATTGTGTGTACATAGTACTTTCTTCCACATCTCCTGTGTCTAGCTAAGGATCTGGTGTATATTTTAAATATTGCTGCTATATTAACAATTAATAATAGTAGCTGACATTTATGGAGTACTTTGTTTTGTGCCTAATACTCTGCCAAGTACATTCCAGAGAGAGTCATTTCATCCACACACTAAATGTGTGGCAGTAACAAGTGGTCCCCCATCTAACAAATGGGCAACTCCAGCTCAGAGAAGTTAAGTCAGTGTTAGCCTCAGATTTTTGACATTTGGCACCAGATAACTCTTAGTTGTTGGGGAGTGTTGGGGGCTTAGCTGTGTTCTGCAGAATATTTAGTAGCATCTCTGGTCTCTACCTACAAGAAGTCCCAAATAGTAGTCCTCCCCACTCTAAGCTGGAAGAACTAAAATTGTCTCCAGATAGTATCCAATGGTCCTGGGGAACCGACTGTGTTGTGCGGTGGATTCTGAATTCAGAGGGCTGCATAAGTTGAGACCACTGGGTTAGGTCATCACAGCGGTCACACAACTAACTGCACAAGAGGTGGGGCAGGAATTCCAGATCTGTCTGCATGATGTAGGACACAAAGCCCTTTCCACCCCAATGCCTATCTCTCATTTAAAATGATCTTTAAAAATCATATTGGGAAATACCCATGGCACAATATTAAGTGGAAAAATATGGACCCTAAATTAGATGTCCTCATCAAGGTAAGAGTCACAGGAAAAAGAAATATCATAAAAAAGGCTCGCCACGTTTTGGTCTGGTTGGTAGGATTTCAGGTGACTACTCCTCCTGATTCTCTTTAGTATTTATTAGCATTGGTAAAATAAGCATCTATGATATAAAAATATTAAAAATAATATTGCTTACCACTTACCGACTGAAATTAGCAAAGCAGATGTGAAAAGGGCATAGTGACTTCCGTTGTCAGTGTGTCTGCACTGTCTCTGTTTGCTCAATAGATTCTGCAAATCTCAGGTGTGGGGAGCAACCCGGACTAGACTAAGTTACTGGAATTAAGACTTATTTTATGCATCTGCTCTCCCACAATATGGCGCTGGGAGAGGAGGAAACAGCTTCTATACAGCTGCCTCCAGTTCAACCAATAAACAGCAGGACCTGCTCCTGATTGGAGGAGAGCAGCGTACTCGGCGTGTGGGTAGCAGAGTTGGGATTGGCGGAAGAGGACTATAAAGGAGGAGAGAGACAACATGCACCAGGAACATCTATCTGAAGGAACACCTGTGCAGCCCCCGAGAGAGCCGGCCGGCGGTGTGCCGCTCCCCCGCGGAAGTGGGGAATGTGGCAGGGGGAACCGCCCTTCCACGGAGGTGGAAGGGACGGTAGCCAACCCAGGAAGAACCAGCAGCAAATCCGGGGAGGGCCGAGCAGACGAAAGAACAACGCAGGGTTCTGTGTCGTTCCTCCACGAAGACGGGGAGCGACACTCAGGAATGGACACACACTGGGACCCCACATTCCCCAGAGCCAGACTGGCTGCAGCGTTTCCTGATATGCCTGGTTCTGCGCTTCAGCGAGGAGCAATCCATCTGTTCTCCCTGTCTCTGCCTCTCATACAGGGAGTCCTGCACGATGGACAGACAAGGACTCAGCAATTGTTCCAGAAGGCACGCTGGGGAGCTTTGTTCCTCTCCATTTTCAGGGAAGAAAATTGGGCTGCCCAAGGAGCACGCTGCCTGGATGAAATTAAACTCCCCTTCCTCACTCGTCCAGACGCGGAGGTCCCACACCAGCTAGGGGGACTTGGGAGTCTGACTTTGTTAAGAGGCACTGTTTGCAAGCTTAGGGTCTGGCTGCCTTCCCAGAACCCTCTGCAAATGGTACCTCCTGAAGGCAGAAGAGTAAAGTGACGGTTTTAGAGTCAAACACACTTGGATTTGCTTCAAATTCTTCCCCCTACACAAAATTTCTCCCCGTGTGACCTTGAGCTACTCGTGTAACCTCTGAGCCTAATTCCCTCATTCTGACTAAATGGACAGCACAGTGTCTGAGCAGACACAGGAATGTCTGGAGTGTCAGATGCAACAGAGGGTGGCCCTCAATGAGGGGATCCAACCATTAAAGGTGTGGCCCTTACGTCCAGGATACAAACAAGTTGTAGAATGGGGTACATTCTTATCTCTGAGGGATGTACGAGCTTCCTGTTCCTGCTGGAACGAACTACCATAGTTCAGTGTCTCTACCAAATTTATCTCATAGATCTGGAGGTGAAAAGTCCAAAGGGAGTTTTACAAGATCAAAGTCGAGGTGTGGGGCTGGCGCCACGGTTCACTAGGCTAATCCTCTGCCTGCAGCATCGGCATACCAGGTTCTAGTCCCGGTTGGGGTGCCGGTTCTGTCCTGGTTGCTCCTTTTCCAGGCCAGCTCTCTGCTGTGGCCCATAAAGGAGTGCAGTGGAGGATGGCCCAAGTCCTTGGGCCCTGCACCCGCATGGGAGACCAGGAGGAAGCACCTGGCTCCTGGCTTCGGATAGGCGCAGCGTGACGGCCGTAGTGGCCATTTGGGGGGTGAACCAACGGAAAAGGAAGACCTTTCTCTCTGTCTCTCTCTGTCTAACTCTGCCTGTCCAAAAAAAAAAAAAAAAAAAAAAAGGCAAAAAGTCGAGTGTGAGCAGAGCTGTGTTCCTTCTGCAGCAGCTGGGGAGGAATCTTTTCTGTATTTCCTGGCTCATGGTTTCTTACTTCATCTTCTCCATCATAAAAGCCAGCAGCAAAGCACCTCCAGGCTCTCCCCCCACCCCCGACCTCTGATTCCATCCTTGTACCTCTTTCTCTGACTAACTTGTCCCTCTCAAAAGGACCCTTGAGACGACACTGGGCCTACGTAGATAATCCAGTATAATCCTCCCGTCTCAAGATCCTTAACTTTATTTTGTCTGCAAAATCTCTCTTGCCATGTAAAGTAGCATATTCACAGGTTTCAGGGATTAAGACGTGGACACCCTGGTAGAAGGGTGTAATCCTGTCTACCACAGGGATAGGAAAGGAGTGCATCCTTATCATCAAACAGCCACGCCTAATCATCACGCTGGCAAGACTGGGCACACTGGAGGGCTGGAAGTCTCTCTAGCTGGTCCAGCAGTTCACTGAACATTTGCCCCACCCCAGATGCTGCTAAAGGAGAAGGTGAGGTTTGGGGCTCCTCCCCAGGCTATCAACCACTCCTATCTGTTTTACATATTAGATTGCATTAAAAAAGTATTTCACCACATTAAAGCATTTTTGAAAAACTCTGATCGGCCAACTGCTTCCATTTGAATGATGAACTGGAGTCCAGAGAGATTCAGTAACTCACCAGCAAGGCAGAAAATCAGCCTATAAGTGAATAAGCTTTTTCTTATACCCTGGCAGTCACTGAGCCTTTGAGCTACGTCATTTGGTCACTGAGCAGTCATCCCAGAGGGAATAAAACAACTATGGTCAAGAGCCCAGGTTTTAGCTCACGCAAGTTCAAGTCCTGCCTGGATGCTTGCTGCACAGTGTGCTTCCGAACCTGTTGTGAGCTGGATCAAATGAGATACTGCACAGGAAGCACATGGCCAACCACACAGGCCATCATTGTGGATTAGCTGGTATTACTATTATTTCTGTACATTTCTCTTTTTTCTTGTTTTAAGTATTTGTTTATTTGAAATAAAAAGAGGAAGAAACACAGAGAGATAAAGAGAGATCTTTAATCTGCTGGTTTACTCCCCAGATGGCCACAACAGCCAGGGCTGGGTCAGGCTGAAGCCAGGAGCCAGGAGCTTCTTCTGGATCTCTCACATAGGCACAGGAGACCAAGCACTTGGGTCATCTTCCTCAGGCAGCAGGAAGGATCAGAAGTGAGCTGGCAGAGGGAGCAGAGAGCTGGATCAGAAGTGGAATAGCTGGGCCTCAAATCCATGCTCATATGGGATGCCAGTGCCACAGGCAGCAGCTTTACCCACTGTACCACAATGCTGGCCCTCTATTTCTGTATATTTCTGGTATCTCTAGCCACACTGTCAGTTCTTCAAAAGTAGAACCTGGTGGGATCTGTCTTTGTGAGATAGCTGTGCACCTCATTCCCTCCCTTTACCTGGCCAGTTCCTTTGCCTCCTTCAGGTCTCTTCTGAAATAACCCTCCCTTTGGGAGCCGTCCCAGATCACCTACAAGGCGCAGTGTTTCCTGTTTCAAACTCTCATAGGACCCTGAATTCTCTGTTATACCTTCATCCCAGTTACTATTAATTATCTATGAAATAATCCGTTTTATCCTAATTTCTCCCACAAGGTAAGCTCCATGCAAACTCTCAAAGGACAGCAGTTAATTGGGGCCATGTGACTAATTCTGGCTCATGGGCTGATCCACGTCACTTGTGGGCTGCAGCATAGAAAAGTCAGCATAGCAACTCTCCAGTTGTCAAATTCCCCCACTGTAGTGTTAGCCAGTGTTCCATCAGCCTGATGCCTTGAGTTACTGTATGGAAGAGTGCCCTCTGTTGACCCACATTGGATATGTAGCATAGTGAAGAAGAATTAAAAAAACAAAACCAAAACAAAACAAAAATACCTTTTTGGGTTCAGTGTCTGGGATTTCAAAATTAACTTGTTTCTAAAACACAACCTAGCTATCCTTACAAACCACTATCCTCCAAGTACCAACAGAGTGCTGGACTGTGTTACAAAGTACTCCATAAATACCTCCTGAATGAATGAATGAGACATCTGAGCCACAGACAGAAGTCTGAATACATGACGTTTTCTAAGTTCATGGAGGACAGCCCTATGTTACAAAAAAGAGACTGTACCACTAGTCAGTTCCAGGATCCTTATCACCGACTGCAGGAGCTGGAAGCGCAGGCCCTGTGACCTTGAAGCTGTTGCGTTCTGACTCACCATTGTGCTGTTGGAGGTCACAGAAACACTCAGCGAGGCTGAGGACAATTAGGTACTCAACAAAGTGGTAAAATCCACTACAACCAAAGCCATTAGTCACAGGGCATTATTTAGAAATTGTTGTAATTTATAATATTTATGAATTGATCTGCAAGAACCCATAAACATTGCTCATCAATATAACTAATTGGCTTTATGAGTTTGGTTGGTTGGGTGATACATTCAGGCTGGTTTTATCAGTCTTGAAGAAAAAAGAAACCTGTGCTTGCTGGGGCCATGAGCTAGGGTGTTGGAGTTCTGGAAACTCCACAGTATTGGATAAGGAATTGAGGGAAGGTGCTATATTTAAGAAGTGGATAAAACACCAGGACACAAGTAGGGAAGATACAGCAAACACACTATTCACACTATTAAGCACACTACCCACAGCACAACAGGAGCTCAATCTCATGAACAAACTCTGGGGAAAGCTACAAGACACATCTTTTCTCTCCTGTCCTCCCTAAGTCTCAGCTGAAATACCTCATAGAAGAAGTGAAGAATTGAGGATATTTATAGCCCAGCTCCCAAGAGTCCCTGGACAACAGCCAGAGTATTAAACGTTCCTTGATACTCTGGCCTGTCACTCATGGGCAATTCTAATTCTCCAGCTTCTGGCTCGAACACTGGAAGTTGGAAGTTGGCTGGAGCATAGTGCAAGGCAGGAGGGCTATGGGCGTGGTGTGGGACCTCCTTCACATGTGCCCATGAATGCTGAGTGCTCTCCACGTGCCAGGCACTGTTCAGAGGGCAGGGATGCAGGCTTGAAAATGGCAAGACTCATGCAATCTACGACCTAGAGGAGACTCAGTTAATCTCAGTAGCAACGCCTATCACTGGGGATTTGAGGACAATGGATGCCATCTCATGGAGTCTGGCAGGAAGGGCACAGCAGGGAAGGCTTCTGAGAGTAACAGAGGTCCAGCTGTGTTATGAACACTGAGTGCAAGTTTTCCCTCTGTAGATGGTGGCAGAAGAGTGTTTCAGACACAGGGAACAGGAGGGCAAAGGCAGAGAAACAGGAGGGAACATCCAGGGCTCAAGAAACTACAAGTTTTTGAAGAAGGGAAGGGTAGGATGCCTTGGGAAATGGTGGGAGAGGGAATCCAAGAGGTAAGGAAAATGTGACAGGTGCCCAAGCTGAGGCTTTGAGATACTGAATTGCTTCCTGGAAGCAGGAAAAAGATTTCCCAAGTAGAGGAGACTAGAATCGGCTTAAATATCCAAATGTCCTGGGGAGGGAGAGTTCTGAAAACAAATGCAGAACTAAGAACCAGGAGACCTAACTACCCAGGGGAACTTCAGTTCTCCCTCCCCTCCCTGGGCCTCATCTAAAGGGGCTGACAAAGATGACCTCTCAGGTCCACGTTTTTATTCATTCATTTATTCATTCAACAAAGATTTGCTGAGCTCCTGATATGTGCCATGCAATGTGTCAAACACAGGGGATTCACAGAGGAAAAGGCTCTTTTGTGTATTTACCTTCTAGGAGGAGAAACACAATAACAAACACATTAATATTACAGTATCATGTTGAAAAAAATGCTATGAAGAAAAAGACAGAGGTTTCCAGGATGAAGGAGGATGGGCCTCTTTGAGGAGGTGCTATTTGATCAGGGATGCCAGAGAAGAGAGGGAGAGAATTCCAGGAATCCCTGGGGAAAGAATCTTCCAAGCATGGTGTGTCCAAATCATAGCAAAGAGGCCCCAGTGACCAGAGAAGAGGCAGTCAGAGAATGGGAGGAGGGGAGTCAGACTGGGAGACAGGAACTGGGTCAGACAAGGATTGTGCCATGGGGAGCTTCGAAGTCATAGGAAAATTTGAGCACAGGAGTAAATCGCTTTGACATACTATTTAGAAAAAAAAAAATAATGGCATAGAGACCCAGAGAGACAGAGAGCTCCCATCTGCTGGTTGAGTCCCCAGATGGCCTGCTGTGACCCCCAGCTGAGGCTGAAGCCTGGAGCCTGGAGCCTGGAACTCAACCCAGTTCTCCCTCGTAGATGGTAGGAACTCAACTACTTGAGCCATCGTCGTTGCCTCCCAGGGTCTGCATTAGCTGGACGCTGGTGTTGGAAGCAAAGCTGAGCACCATATCCAGGCAGTCTGATGCTGAACACAGGTGTCTTAACTGCAAGGCCACATGCTCACACCTGAATTATTACTTAAAATGTTCACAGCAGCATTATTCAGAACAGGGAAAAAGTGGAGACAACCCAAATGTTCATCAACTGATGAGTGGACCAACAAAATGTGGCCTATGCATACAGTCGAATATTATTCAGTTCTAAAAGGGAATGGCATACTGAGACATGCTACGATTTGGATGAACCCCGAGAACACTAAACCTAGTGAACAAAGCCAGACACAAAAGCTCACAGGTCACATATGGTACGATTCCATTTATAGGAAATGATCAGAAAAGCCATTTCATATAAATACACAGGCACAGAAAATAGACTAGTGGTTGCCAGGGGTGCTGCAGGGAGTACAGAGTGATTGGTAATGGGCACAGTTTCTTTTTAGCATGGCAAAAATGTCCTAAAATTAGACAGTGATGATGGTTGTGCAACTGTGATTAGACCAAAAACTACTGAATTGTACACTTCAAAGGGGTGACTGCAAGGCATGTGCTCTACATCTCAATAAAGTTGCTTAAAAAATAAAAGTACATTCAAATCACAGGACGCCCCCCCCCAACACACACACACACACACACACACACCTCATTCACCATGTACAGAGAACAGAATGCAGAGTGGCAAGAGCCAAGGCACAGGGACTGGCAAGGTGGCTACTGCAGAAGCCCAAGCATGGACTGAAGGTGACGTGGGTCAGTGATGAGGACAGTGACAAGTGGGATTTGAGACCTGCTCGAAAGCTGGAGCAGAGAAGACTTGGTAAGGATTGGACACGTGTTCTGAGTCAAGGAGAGAAGTCAACACAGGTAGGGGCAGCTGTGTCAGGAGTGGCACTGTTTCCTGAGATGGAGAACACTAGGGGAAGAGCAGCTATCAGGTGGATCAAGAATTTGTTCTGGGCCATGCTAACAGTGAGGTGCCTGTCAGATGCTGAGTGGGCCACTGGGCATCTGAGTGTAGAAGTGAGGGGGAAATTCTGGCTGGATTTATCAGTCATCAACATATGGACAGAATTTACAACCATGGAACCAAAGGAGACTCTCTAGGGAATGAGTGTGGCTAAGCAGAAAGAAAAATCCCAGATGTGGCCCTGAGGCCCCTGAACATTGGAAAGAAATATATTGCTCCCCAAAATACAGACTGCGGGAGTTTCTGAGGATTCTGACCTTCACCTCTGAATACCCTGTACTATCCCATGGAGAATTTTATAGACTTTATTCCACATCTCCCTTTAAAAATTATCATTACTCACCCAGGGGCACCTGCTGCTGGGAGAATCTATAAACATCATAAGAATTTCCAGGATCAGAGATCGGCACAAACTTTCTCTTTAACCCTCCAAAGGACTCTAAAAGTAAGAAGCCTGCTAGCAGAGATTTTATTTTTCTCCTTCATTTATTTAAAAGACACTCATCTTGACTGAGAATAGGCAAAAAATGACAAATTTAAAAAAAAAAAGAATATTGAGGTGGTTCATGGAGAGCGACTAGTAAAGATCTGGACCTTTGAAGCAATCATGTATTTTTCCTTCCACTCCGTCTTGTTTTCCCACACTTTCCTCTTTCTCCCTCCAGACTAGTTTCTCTCTTTCCCCTTATCTTCACTGGAGAAACAAGGCCACCTGCCATCCACTGTATATTGTAATTTTAGACACTGGAAACATTGTAACCTTTCTTTCTTTTTTCTTTTTTTTAATTTGACAGGTAGAGATATAGACAGTGAGAGAGAGAGAGAGACAGAGAGAAAGGTCTTCCCTCCATTGGTTCACTCCCCAAATGGCTGCCACAA